ACAGAACCAGGTGGCTAAGAGCTGTGAAAATGGCCTATCTCCTGTTCAATCACTTATTGCAGAGCTCCAAACTGCCTCTGGAAGCAACATCAGCACAAGAACTGTGTGTCAGGACCTTAATAAAATGGGTCTCCATGGCTGAGCAGCTGCACACAAGCCTAAGATCACTATGCACAATGCCAAGCGTCGGCTGGAGTGGTGTAAAGCGCCGCCACTGGACTCTGGATCAGTGGAAATGTGTTCTCTGGAGTGATGAATCAGCTTCTCCGTTTGTCAGTCTGATGATAAATCTGGGTTTGGTGGATGCCAGGAGGGCATTACCTACCGGAATGCACAGTGCCAACAGTAAAGTTTGGTGGAGGAGGGATGATGGGCGGGGCTGTTTTTCAGGGTTGGGCCCCTTAGTTCCAGTGAAGGATGATGTTAAAGACATTTTACACAGTTATATGACAGCAGTTTGGGAAGAGCCTTTCCTGTTCCAGCATGACTGAGCCCCTGTACACATAAAAAAGCTTCATAAAAAAAAGGTTTGATGAGTTTGGTGTGGAGGAACTCCAGTGACCTGCACAGAACCCTGACCTCAACCCCATCGAACACCTATGGGATGAACTAGAACGGAGATTGTGAGTCAGGCCCTCTCGTCCAACATCAGTGTCTGACCTCACAAACGCTCTTTAGACTGAATGTACAAAAATTTCCACAGACACTCTCTAACATCTTGTGGAAAGCTTCCCAGAAGAGTGGAAGCTGTTACAGCTGCAAAGGGGGGCAACTCTATATTAATGCCTGCAGTTTTACAATGGGACATACCACAAGCTCCTATATGTGTAATTGTCAGGTGTCTACATACTTTTGGCCATATCATACATACACACACCTCCACATGGCTCAGAAGTTAGAGACACAGACGTAAGGGAGTGCAATAATCCACTGTCCTCTAGTCCAAGAGTTCAGGAGTTACACACTCTCGAAACCAGTCAGTCAACTACTCCACCACCAAGAAAACAGCACGATTTAAAAGGAGTAAAAGGCAGAGTTTGGTCAGGATATCCTGAACACAGCACAGTGATATTGGAGCAGCCGTAAGATCAGCACTGGAACAAAACATACAGCTACCATTCTGGTAAACTATGAGCTGGACAGGGACAAAAAAATCTATGTGTGCAAAATCACTGATGATACAAGATTAAAAAATGTAAAAGGAATTCAGCATCTATCATCAGTAGAACCACTGAGATCTTTCCATGAGGACCAGATCAGCTTACACTGCAGGTGCCACGCTGCCTGGTATAAATCTGCATGAGTGCTTTGGTCAAGCGCTAAACAGTAGAGGTCGCATAATTCAAACCCAGAGGTCAGCTTGTAATAATGGTCAGCGGAGTGACCTCCATACTGAACGGCAAGCTAAAAACAATAGCTGGAACAGCTCTCCTTTCATCATCAAACACAGGACAACAATGACTGATCCAGCGTGGAGTCCAGTTTGGAGGGAAGTTTAGGGTGACTGGGATGTACCCAATGATAGCATGACCTCAGCGCTGTTGGGTCATTTATTTATGACATAAGAGCAAGGACACGGTCTGACCAGAGCATTACCCATCCATTGCTCAATACGCTCAATTGTAGCATGTTTTAGGCTCGGTTCCCTGTAAGGCTGACATTATGCTAACATTATGGTAAAAGTTTTATATTTTCTGAGCGTATCATGTATTGTCAGTGCTTTTTGGACGCTAAACAACTGCACGGATCAAAAAAAGTGGCAAAGCCATCTAAGACTGTCAGATCACAAGTCCTGAGGATGATTAGTCCTGCCTAATCCGATGTAGAGACGATCAGTACATAAAATGTGGGTAGGGGAGGGTGGGGCACAATCTAACACGTTTTGTTTTTCACTAAATAGTTCTAAAAGTATTTGAGCAAAATGAATAATATGTTTATACAAGCAGACTGAACGTCTCTGCTACAAATAAAAATGTAAACATTGTTTGCAGCGACTACCATTTCTGAACATTTCGGCTGAAAGCAGTGAAAGCAGACAGAGTGAAAATGTGGCTTACCCTATAGGCAGGCCATTATTATTATTTAATAATAATAATACATAAAACCTATTGTTGTAATTATGAATAATAATTAATAAAAATGTATTTCAATATATTTGATCATGCTGATTTTTGCTGATCTACTCTATGTACTTTTTTGAGCATGATCAAATATATTGGAATATATTTTATTAATAATAATAATAATAATAATATGTTTCATTTTTATACTGCCTTTCTTACACTCCAGGTCTATTTACATTTTAAAATCATTAGAATAAAGGGAAGCACTGAGAAAATAGGTAAGTTTTGAGTTGTGTCTTAAAGGCTGAGATAAAGACTCTGAGGATGCGAGCTTTGGAGCTGTTACGCTGAGCGCTCTACCACCGACTGAGGGCAATCTGAGGAAATTAGAGCTCATCCAACTCTTAATAATATCAATATTATTAACATGTATAGCACATTTTTGATAAATCTATGCATAAATACTTTCCCTATATACACACACACACACACACACACACACACACGCATATATATATATATATATATATATATATGTATGAAGAAATACCATATTACATATATGTGGTGCTATATTACACACACCAAGAGGAGATGAGAATAACATAGGAGTGAATTGTGTACAGCTCACTGATCACAAAAAGGATGGAAAAAGTTACTTTAATGGTATTAAAACAGTCTTCAGGGTAAATCTGGAGAAACATCTGTCAGAATTCACATGACGTTGATATAGTGATATGAGAAGATGATCTGAATTCTACTGGAACCTGTGTACAATAAACACTCACGTCGCTCATGGTTTTTATGGCACTTTTGCTGTTTTTGCATTTTGTCTGTCCCAACTTATCAAACCTCAGAAATACTAATATCAAAGATGACATTTGCTATTGCATTTTTCCATATTGTCCACCCTTACTTCACTCTATATATGGACTTTACAGTCCTTTTCAGTCGATTTTGGGTTGTGGTTATGCATCTTGGTCCCCTCAGCTGTCTCTGGCAGAAAGTTCAGCCTTGTGCCCCCCCCAGCTCTGGCTCGGCTCCAGCTCCATTATAAATAGATAACAATGCCTGAATATCCAGCCACCTGCCCACGCCAATCTACAGCTCTTTAAAGAACGACAGAAACAGGACCCACCAGAACTCTGTACAGTACAAGCTGGACAGAAGCCGCACACTCAATACCCAATTATCTGTTTCTGTATACGGTCTGGTTCACAACTAAGGATGGATGAGTTCATGTTTCAGTCACAAGTCACAGGATACAAACGTAAATATATACATATCATTCAAAGATTAATAATTCCAACAACTATAGACAATTAGTCTTTATTAAAAAAGTACAGATGGAAGGAAACAGCTCTACTACTACAGCCTCCCTGCAGAGCACCAGGACAACACGTTTGCACAGCTATAATCTGAAATGTAAACACGTTTGCACAGCTATAATCTGAAATGTAAACACGTTTGCACAGCTATAATCTGGACAGTAAACACATGTTTACGCAGTTAAAATCTGAACAGTAAACAAATGTTTACACAGTTATAATCTAAAGAGCAAATACACCTTAAAGCAGTTATAATCCGAACAGTCAACACATTAACACACTTATAATCTGAAGAGTAAGCACAGTTTAACACCGTTATAATCTGAACAATAAACACGTTTACACTGTTATACTCTAAAGAGCAAATACACCTTAAAGCAGTTATAATCTGAAATGTAAACACGTTTACGCAGTTATAATCTGAAATGTAAACACGTTTACGCAGTTATAATCTGAAGAGTAAAGACATATTAACGCAGTTATAATCTGAACAGTAAACACACATTAACAAAATTATAATCTGAACAGTAAACACACATTAACAAAATTATAATCTGAACAGTAAACACATATTAATGTAGTAATAATCTGAACAGTAAACACACTGTAACGCAGTTATAATCTGAAGAGTAAACACACATTAACAAAGTTATAATCTGAACAGTAAACACACTGTAACACAGTTATAATCTGAACAGTAAACACACATTAACAAAATTATAATCTGAACAGTAAACACACATTAACAAAATTATAATCTGAACAGTAAACACACATTAACAAAATTATAATCTGAACAGTAAACATATATTAACTCAGTTATAATCTGAACAATAAACACACTGTAACACTGTTATAATCTGAAGAGTAAACACTCATTAACACAATTATAATCTCGAGTAAACACACATTAATGCTGTTATAATCTGAACAGTAAACACATGTTTACACAAATTTAATCTGAATAGTAAACATATGTTTACACCATTATAATCTGAACAGTAAACACACGTTTACGCAGTTATAATCTGAACAGTAAGCAGAAGTGGTGCTGGTGATAAAATCATAATTATCTATACTGTAATTGATTTATTGATGTTGTAAATAAGTACAAGAGATTTAATAAAAAGTCTGTCACTATAACAGCTGCAATAAAATTATTTATTTGCCAGACACAGATATAGTTATAACATGTCTCTGTGCTTCATTAGGCTTTTTAAAAAAAAGATAATGCAAACAGGTATACGAGCATGTACAGTAAACAAAGAACTTTTTTAAACTGTTGTGTATTTACAGAATGTCCACTCTGTATATTTGAATATTTGTAGGTATGTATTCGAGGTATGTGTCTGTCCATGCGTGTACGAGTGAGTCAATGTAGGTTCAGACATGTATTTGATTAGGAAATCAATGCAAACCAGCACCCTCAGTGTGAATTAGTACTTTTTAAAGGATTTATTGTATTAATGCAATAATATTGATCATTTTGGTCACTGATGATATAAAACTCTGTACTGTCCCGTCTCTGTTCACAGCTCTCTTATTCTAAACGCAGCAGCACAGTGTGTTAACAGCACTGTGGAAATGGAAAAGGACAGATTTCACTCACCGTCCGTAAGAACTGGATCTCCTCCTCTCCTTCTCCTGCTTCGGCCATAGTGACTGGAGCTGCAGGTGCAGGCAGAGAACCTCTGTTCCTCTCTCTCTCTCTCTCTCTCTCTTTCCCTCTCCTTCCTCTCCTGCTCTCACTCGGTCAGTCTCTCTCCGCTGCCCTGCTCTCTGAGCGTCTGTGCGCTCTGAAGGACATGGGAGATTCTCTCGCTCTGTCTGTGTGGAGTGAGAGAGGACTGGCCACTCCACCTTCTCCACAGCTCTCTCGCCCCTCCTCTCAATCACTACTGCTGTAAAAAATGGTTTAGTCAGTTCAGCTTTAAAGAACAGCTGCTAACAAACAACAGAACTGCTTTTATTCCTAAATAAATGACTTTAAACTCAATCATGCCCACTGAAAAAGAATCATTAGAAACCATGAGGATCAACGCCTACCATTAGGACCATTAGAAACCATTAGGATTAAAACCCAACCTGCTGAAAAAAGACCAGTAGAAACCATTAGGCTTGAAACCTACTATTAGGACCATTAGAAAACATTAGGATTAAAACCTACCTTGCTGGAAAAAGACCAGTAGAAACCATTAGGATTGAAACCTACTATTAGGACCATTAGAAACAATCAGGATTAAAGGCTACCATTAGGACCTTTAGAAACCATTAGGATTAAAGGCTACCATTAGGACCTTTAGAAACCATTAGAATTGAAACCTACCATTAGGACCATTAGAAACCATTAGGATTTAAGCCTACCATTAGAAACCATTAGGATTCAAACCTATCATTAGGACCATCAGAAAACATTAGGATTAAAACCTACCCTGACCATTAAAAACCATTAGGATTGAAACCTATCATTAGAAAACAGGATTAAAACCTACCCTGCTGAAAAAAGACCATTAGAAACCATTAGGGTTGAAACCTACCATTAGGACCATTAGAAACCATTTAAACCTACCATTAGAAAACATTAGGATTAAAACCTACCCTGCTGGAAAAAGACCATTAGAAACCATTAAGATTGAAACCTAACATTATGACCATTAGAAAACATTAGGATTAAAACCTAATTTGCTGAAAAAAAGCATTAAAAGGTAGCTTTAGCTCACATGTAGCAATATTAGTATTATAGCTCTTTACGACCTCGTAATTCGGAGGATTCAGTGATATTCGGTAAATGTACACGAGACAAAACGCATCGGGTTCTGAACATGTTTATTTAACACAGACTGTGACATAGACGATTTTTCGAAAACCCTATTCATTCTGGCCATAGAGAAATGGAGCTCAGACCCGGAACTCCTAAAATGGGCATAACGAGGACTACAGAATGACGACACGACTACAGTGGACTACTGATAGAACACGGTAGGTTAGCTTACTTATTTAGCTACCTAGCTAACAACTATAAGAACTGTACGCACCAGTTTAGTAAAATCTAGATAACTAGCTATATTAGAATATAAATTGGACACAATTCCACGTCAAAATGGTATTTTATTTACTTTTGTCTTATTTGTTAGAACAAATATTCATCTAAAGAGGTGACTCGCTAGTCTTGCTACCACAGCAGATAACAGCGAGCTAACCCTACCTAGCGTTACCGGACTGTTCGCAAGTGGGGCTCATTTTCATTTTAACACATAAAGAGTTAAACTCTAATAAACAGGATTAGGTTTGAGTAAACCGAACTCTGACTGAAAAACTGTCGGTACGTCAAGTAAACCAAGCATTTACTTACCACACGCGTTCTGAAGCCTCTCGAAGTTTCCAGAAGCTGCTCTGAGCGCGCGCTTCCCGCCTCTGCGGTGGAGCGTTGGTGACTCGGTCCTCAGTACGGGTAGAATCTGCCTCAATACAGGTGGAATCTCCCTCAATATAGGTGGAATCAGCCTCAGTACGGTAGAATCTGCCATTTTATGAGCCGACAGCTTGTTTTCTTATCTAGAGCTAGGCTGGTCAGCTAGCTAACAGGCTAAAAGATAGCAAACATGCTAAACAGCTCCATCATTAATTTTCGCTAGCTTGGTGTTAAATAAGACCCGCGGTGGTAATTTGGTGACCAAAAAGTACTTACAAAGCAAATGTTTGTTCATTAAGCAGTGCTGGGTTATCATATGTTTAGTATTATATTGGGTGATGGTCGACCGAACATTCTCCTCATTCAGCGGTCCATGGTTGCTTGGCAACGATACCGTACGCTAAAGGAACTACATTTCTTGGCTGAATACTTTTTATGTCGATTATTATTAATAATAACAAATTATTTTCCGTATATTTGCGTATTTTATCATATTTTACGTTGACAGCTGTTGTTTAAAAGTAATAAGCCGCTTGAAGGCGTGCGTTACAGTGATTTTATCACGGGAAAGGGGTTCTTTGGTACGGAGCCCCTAAGGGATCGTGGTTAAAAACAAAAGTTAATGACATTGCGTTCCCTCGCAAATATTTAGCATTCCCTCGCAAATGTTTTGCATTCCTTATAATATAATAATTCCCCAAATTAGCTAATGTTAAAAGCTGTTTTCCCAGTTTCGCCAGTCCATGCTGAGTTTATTCAGGAAACTCGATCTCAGTCTCAGTTTGCGCTCAATGACAGCAGAATCATGTTTGATTTTGAGAAGCAACACTGCGTCTTTATATTTCAATCCAACATCAACATAAAATTCAATGAGCTTCTTCATGTCTGTTCATGGCTGCTTCATGTCACAGCTTATGCTAGCAAATGCAAACCGTTTGCATCATAATGCAAAACATTTGCAAGGGAACGCAAAGTCACTAGCAGTTTTTTTTTAACCACGGCCCTTTAGGGGCTCCGTACTTTGGCAGGACGCAAAGCGTCCCTGATAAAATCACAGCAATTCAGTGACTTATTGCTTTTCTGAACTGGCGGCCAACATAAAACATGATAAAAATGCATGGCGCTCATGGCTTACTGCTTTATTCTCACACCAATTTACTGAATTTCTGAATTTATACACTGGGGTTTAAAGAGTCCAGAGAAACTGTACTTTAAAGGGCCCATACTAGTGTATAAATCCGGGGGTCCCATGTTGTCTGGCTGCTATCTCTCTCTCCATAGCAGCGCTGCTGATTCAATGTCAGTAAATGTTTGTTTTATCAGCTGTTCTTCTGTAAAGTCTCTGTTCTAGTGCGGTTCTGCGCTCTTCCTCTTCTGTCTTCAGTGTGAGAAATGAGGAACAGTCACTCTTCACTCCAAACTCTTGGGAAACTGGGCGAGTTTTCAGATTTACAGATCTGCTGCAGCTCATTGTAAAGTTTTTCAAAGCAATCCGGGCAGAGTTACAGTTTCTAGGCTATGAAGGACCAACTGGGTGAACCAGTCTGCTACAGCGCCACCCTGAGGCAGAGCAGTGCTGCAGCTCTAGTTAGTTAAGAACACCAGAGACAGAAGCTGAATGTGGTTGAAGCAGATCAACAATCAGCTTCACTGAATCTGATTTTTCTAACAGACAGCAGAACGGCACAATGTTTATTTTCAGTTTTTTCCCCCAAAGACATAACCATGAACACTCAAAGAACCATTTGGCAAATAAATGGTTCTTTACATGGTGAAATGGTTCTTCAGACTGATGGAGAACATGTTGTATATGGTTCTACATAGATCCTTTTCAAATGGAAAAAAAGGTGCTATATAGAGCCCTTTTCAAAAAGGGTCTATATAGAACCACCTACAGCACATTCTCTTTAATCATGCAAAGCGTTCTTTGTGTGTTCATGGTTCCATATAAAACCATTTTCTTTACTGAAGAACCAATGAAGAACCATCTTATATAAGTATGTATATAAGAGTAAATATACAAACGTTTTTGACAAACTGTTTTTTCTCTCATGAGGAAACTGGATATAAAATGTAATTTTATTACATAAATAATAAAAACAAAACACTTGCATTTTGCAATTTATTAAGAACAAACAAAAGTATTGACAGAGTGCAATAAAATGAACACCACATAGACAAGCCTTGATTACTTCATGTGACAGTGCTTTCCTGATATATAAACACAAACGTATATACGTTTAAAACCAAAAAAACTGTGAATGTAAAAAAATAAATACACAAAAAGAAGCACAGATATTAGTAAAGTGACGTTTGTTAGTGTGAAAATATCAGAGTGGCAACGGCTTCCACGTGGTCATTCGGACTTCGTGTGAGGGCCAGCGGGGCGAGTCTCTATAGCGCCTCCTGGAGCCCTGTTGTCGGAACTGAAAGGTGGGAGGGGAGAGATCGAGGGACAGCGAACATTTCTCGTTCATACCGCCGCCGATGGAAATTAGACCATCGAAGGAAAGGCAGGTGATGTCGTTACACGGAGAGCTGGAGGCTGGACTCATACAGCGCTCTGCAAAGCTGCTGTAGGGAGGCGAGTCTGTATAATCTCTGAAAGAGTGCAAGTCTATAGGAGAAAGCAAAGGCTCCCCCTGCTGGTGGGAAGGAGGGTATACATTAGATACATTATAGTGGATATCTAACTGAGGTTCTCCAGGTGTTGACCGTGTAAACACACTAGAATCCTCTTCTTGGTCTGCTACACAGCACTGTTGCTCCAACAGTTTATGCAGGTCAAACTCTGGCTCATGACTGTTGATGTCTGACCCCAACACTGACCGAGGCCCAGTTATGAATTCAGGCTCCACAACCTGTAGATGTTTGCTCTCCTCGGACCTCAGTGGAGAACCAACCAAAGTCAGATCCTCCTCAGAAGACGCCTGATTCAGTGTGTTCTGCGAAACGTCCAGTCCTTGCACATGTTCAGCTGGTCCATCCAAAAGCAAGTGAGGACTCGATTCCTCGCAATCTGCATATGCGTCACTCAGTTCCACAAAAGCCTGAGGGCTCTGAGGATCTTCTCCAGGAACAAGCTCTGGAACGCCCTCATGGCTGAAGGATCGGCTGAAGCGGCGTGCCCCCTGCCTGCGGAGCTTCACCGTCGACCTCTGGTGGCCGAGCTGAGGCACAGCACCCCTCGGGGTTCGCAGGAACGCAGCCAGAGCGCTGAAACTTCTCAGCCGTTCCACCACGGACAGGCGCTGCTGCGTCCTCTTGACCCCCGGGTCAGAATCTGTCATCTTGTCCTTTTTTCTATCCAGGACTGATCCGTACTTTCTCCTCAGAGTACCGTCTCGCCCTTCCTTCTCTTTGTCACCCACCTTCCTGTCTCCAGCACTGCTGAGGCCATATGAGAGAGGCTCGTTTACAGATGCTGACCAAATATCACCATCAAACGCAGGTTGCTTCACACCAGCTTCCTTCAGAGCTTCATCGATCTCATCAGAACATGGTTCCAAGGCCACCTCAGGCATGCTGATGGACCTGCGGGGTCGAGGGCCCTTCTTGGTGCTTCTCTTCGTTTGTTTGGGTTCTTCCAAAGGTGGCCATTCATCCTTTTCCTCCATCTGCGCTGCATCTCCTGGCTTTGGACTCTCAATCGCGGCCTCAGGTTGGGTCTCGGTTTGGTCAACAGGTTGGGTCTCAGTTTGGTCAACAGGTTGGGTTACCTTGTATTCTACAACCACTTCTGTATTGCCATCCTCAAGCAAGACCCAGCGATCATCATCATCAACATCACCATCATCATCACCGGGTTCCTCACTGTCCTGTCTCTGAAGGTCATGGAAAGTCTCCGGAGACTCAGGGTCCTCCACAAAACTACAGTTCAGAAGGTCAGGATCGTCATCCACTTCACTTCCAATTATAACTGCAAGACATAAGCAGAATTCGGAGAGGAGAATGCATGTGTTAGGTAAGGTTTTCAAACAATATCAAAGTTTATTAAGACTAAAAAATGATCCAAACCTGTTCCTGGCCCATCTATCACAATAAAAGGTATCTTCAGTGACACCTCACTGTCTGAGTTTGAAGCTTTATCATCATGGAGTTTTCTGCAGGCACTCAGGCACGGCTCAGGGTCATCACACTCCGTCACATTGAGCGCCTGTTCAAAGACGTGCAGCAGTAAGAACCCAAAGAACTGATAATCCTTCTGCACAGAAGTCTTTAATAACCCTTATCATTAAACCAAGAGGTGTAAAGGAGCAACAGGCAGAAAGGTGTTTCATAACGAGATGTACTTGCAAATGAAAAAGGCTGAATGATAACTTTTATGTAAGAACTCACAGGGCTGCCGTTGCTGCTACTGGACATGGTGAAGAAGCGGAGTGACCTTCTCCTGCGATGAACTCGGTCTTCTTGCTTTGGAGGCCTAAGGAGAACACGCAGCTCAAAGTAAGCTGTAAAATGGCTTGCATGGTATAAACCAAACACACACACACACACACACACACACACACACACACACACACACACACACACTATATAGTCAAAAGTATGCAGACACCCATTCTAATTATTGAGCTCAGGTGTTCCATTGCTAACAGGTGTATGAAATTAAGCACATAGTCTTGCAGACTCCATAGACAAACACTGGCACTAGAGGGTTGCACTGAAGAGCTCAGTGGCTTTAAACATGGCTCTGGCCTAGGATGCCGCCTCTGCCACAAGTCAGTTTGTGAAGTTTCTGTCCTGCTCTAACTGCCCCAGACAACTGTAAGAGCTATTACTGTAAAATGGAAGCATTGAGGAGCAACAACAGCTCAGCCACGAAGCCATAGACCACGCAAACTCAGAGAGTGGGGCTGCCAAGTAAGTTAATACAGAGCTCCAAACTGCCTCTGGAAGCAACATCAGCACAAGAACTGAGCATCAGGACCTTCATGAAATGGCTGAGCAGCTGCACACAAGCCTAAGATCACTATGCACAATGCCAAGTGTCGGCTGGAGTGGTGTAAAGTGCCGCCACTGGACTCTGGATCAGTGGAAACGTGTTCTCTGGGTTGATGAATCAGCTTCACTATCTGTCAGTCTGATGATGAATCAGATGTCAGGAAAACGCTACCTACCAGAATGTACAGTGCCAACAGTACAGTTTGGTGGAGGAGGGATGATGGGCGGGGCTGTTTTTCAGGGTTTGGGCTCCTCAGTTCCAGTGAAGGGTGATGTTGATGCTGCAGCACAAAGACATTTTACACAGTTATCTGCTTCCAGCTTTGTGTCAGCAGTTTGGGGAAGAGCGTTTCCTGTTCCAGCATGACTGAACTCCTGTGCACAAAGCAGCTCCATAAAGACATGGAGTGACCAGTTTGGTGTGGAGGAACTCCAGTGGTCTGCACAGAGCCCTGACCTCAACCCCACTGAACACCTCTGGGATGAACTGGAACGGAGATTGTGAGCCAGACCCTCTCGTCCAGCATCAGTGTCTGACCTCACAAATGCTCTTTGACGAAATGGGCACAAATTCCCACAGACACTCCAACATCTTGTGGAAAGCTTCCAGGAAGAGTGGAGGCTGTTACAGTCGAAAAAAGTAGGGGCAACTCCATATTAATGGAGTCCAACAAGATCATACGGGTGCAGAGTATAGGTGTCCATTTACTTTTGGCCATGTAGTGTGTGTGTATATAGGTGAAAAAGGAAACAGCATTAAGAATGCTACAAATATGCTTGCAGTGATGCAAGCAATCATGTGATGTATTTGGACTAATCACAGTCAGGAGGAGGTTTTGAAACAAAAAAGGAGTTACATTTCAAAAAAGTTTCAATCAGCCATGAATTCAAAGGCTGTGGTTATTAACAGTGCCCCCTGGTGGCAGACTGACCGATATGACTTTCTTTGTCCTCTTATTTGACTCCTCCTCTTTGAGACGTTGGGGTGGAGATCCTCTTTGTTGCTCTTCATGACCTGAGGACTCTGACCACCTGTGGATTCTGACCATAAACAGACTCAACAACAGAACAAAAGCTGGGCAAGATATACAGAAGACGTGTTTATAATATTTATATGAAAAATGTGAAGCTCCAATTTCACTAAAACTGACTCACCATCTGCAGAATGGCTGCTGACTGACTGGCTGTCCACCCTGAGGTCATGTAGTGAACGCCTGAATGCTCATATAACAGACATAAACATCAATAATTCACCATATAAGACATTAAACAGCTCATTTCCGAGTCTCGTATCTCAGTACGTTTGGATGTTCCGTACCTCTTCTTGGCAGATCCATCCATATCCAGGGTGGTTTCCTCAGACGCTTTACGCTTCACTGTGCTTGGGGACTGCGGGGTTGGACTTTCGGAGAGCAGCTGGTCTTCTGGAGAGCAGATGACATTTAAATAATAATAATTATAATATGTTTATTTAGCATCTTAACAAACAGAAAAGTAAACAAAGTACTAAAAATTTACAATTACAGCTACATAAATAATGGCACTCTCAAAAAATACAGAGAAAAGACAGACCACATGACTATCACGTTCTGTGGTTTACCTAACGGGGATTCTAAGGTCATAGGTGGACCAGTGGGCGTCCGAGCAGGCTTCAGTTTGGAGAAAGCATCCACAAATATCTCTAAAAGCACATGCAGCATTAAAGAAACAGAAACGGTACACAGGCTAAATAGTTTTTAGTTGGCAGATGCAATAATATGATGATATACACCGAACAGCCACTTCATTAAGTCCACCTCCTTGTTTCTACACTCTCTGTCCATTTTAGCAGCTCCACTGACCGTATAGTTTCACTCTGTAGTTCTACAGTTACAGACTGTAGTCCATCTGTTACTCTGCATACTGTGTTACCCTGTTCTTCAGTGGTCAGGACCCCCATGGACCCTCACAGAGCAGGTACTTTTTGGGTGGTGGATCATTCTCAGCACTGCAGTAACACTGACGTGGTGGTGGTGTGTTAGTGTGTGTTGTGCTGGTCAGACTGGCAGGGTCGCCTACAGAGCAGCGCTGGTAGCTGTTAATGAAGTGATGCTCTTTTTATTTGAGGGTCCCATTTCAGAGGGCAAGTTTTTAACCACGACACCTTGTAACTCAGTTCCAAGGGGTTAGGGTGACACTCGAAAACAAGGGGTAGTGGTAAAAAGAAGAATCGGGACTGGGCCTAAATCTGAGATGCTATAGATGGTTAAACATTGTTTATTAAACAGAAATGCTTTTGTCAGCTTCCTGATTGGATGAACTGGCATCCTACATGAGTGTAACTGAGCAGCTCCTCTCTGAAGCCTCACCTCCAACACTTCTCCTCCTCTGTCTCCTCAGACTCCTGTACACACTGAGTCCAGCTCTCTTACTGAATACAGCGCCATCTGCTGGAGGAGTGGACTCACTCACGTCCACTGATCCCAGTGAGTCCAGAACAAAAGAAGGCAAAACTCCTGACAGATACAGATCACATGACAAATTATAGAAGACTAAATTTCGATCAGACAAACATCACGCTTGGTAACCTTTGGACCCAGAGAGTCATATACACTCTAAAAAGATGGTTCTTCAAGGGTTCTTTAGTAAAGACAGTGGTTTTATCTAGAACTTTGAACATTCAAAGAACCCTTTGCATGCTTAAATGGTTCTTTAGATTGATGGAGAATGTGTTGTAAATTGTTCAATTTAGCACGTTTTTGAAAATAGTTCTATGTAGCACCAAAAAGGGTTCTGCTATTGTTATGATGTCAAGCTTGAAACAACAGTAGTGCTATTTAGAACCATATACAACACACTCTCCATCAATCTGAAGAAACATTTCACAGTGCAGAGAACCATGTACGCAAGCAAATGGTTCTTTGAGTGTTCATGGTTCTATAAAGAACCACTGTCTTTACTAAAGAATAAGAAATAATAAGTAATAAGAAATGAATGTTAATTATAATTCTAAAACCTTGAAAACTTTTCTTTAAAGGAAAAATGCTGAACTATTCTTTAAGAACCCCTCAGTTGTACCTATGCGATCAGCGTGTACAATGAGGGCTTTGATGACCGCTGTTTGCTGGTCCAGCTGTTTCTCTGTGTGGACGGTCAGCCTGCCGGGCTGTCCTGGACACTGCAGCAGGTTAGGAGCCATTACCAGCGCCAGATTCCCCACCTCCATCCTGTTCTCATCACACCTGAGCAGAACCAGAAATCAGCATTGAAACTGTGTTTTGGGTATTAAAACTATAGAGTCAGGTAAATAAGTATTTGGCCAGTGACGTTGTTCGTAATTCCGCTTCTGTACACGACCACACTGGATCTGAAATGAAGCAGTCCAGACGTAACTGAAGTGTCGCCTTTAATTTGAGTGGTTTAACAAACATATTGCATTAACCGTTTACAAATTCCAGCCATTTTCACAGTCCCTCCATTTTCACAGGCTCAAAATTAATTGGACAACCTAACGATTACAAATACAAGGATTGTCTTAATACTTGGATGCAAACCCTTTGCAGTCTGGATCCCATGGACATCACTAAACGCTGAGTTTCCTCCCTCGAGATGTTTTGCCAGGTTTACTGCAGCCACGTTCAGTGGCGCTTTCTGCCTTCAGTTTTCTGTTCAGTAAGTGGGCTGAGGTCAGGTGACTGACTCAGTCATTTAAGAACATTAATTAATTTGCCTTAAGAAGCAATATATAGCTTTATACATTGCAGGATTCGTCCTGCTACTTCTATCAGCAGTCACATCATCAATAAACATCAGTGAGCCACTTCCTTTGGCAGCCATACATGCACTTGCCATAACACTACCTCCACCATGTTTGACAGCTGACGTGGTATTCTTGGGATCATGAACCCTTCCCTTCCCTTCCTTTTTTCAGATGTTTTCTCTTGACTGTACACTCTTACAGTGATACGCCAGCCTCTTCTAGAATGTTCTTTACTTGACTAGATGTTGTGAGGGGTTTTTTCTTCACCACAGAAAGAATTCTGCGATCATCCACTTCAGTCATCTTCTGTGCTCTTCCAGGCTATTTGGTGTTGCTGAGCTCATCATTCTGTCTTTTTCAGAACTGTTGATTTGGCCACTCACAAAGTTTCTGCTCTCTTTCTGGTTTGTTTTGTTTTTTTTCAGCCTAATAACGCCCCCTTCATTTGCCGTGACACCTCTTTGAACCACATATTGAGAGCTCCCATGAACAGCCACCAAATACAAATTCAGCACTTGCAATCAACTCCAGACATTTTCTCTTTTTAATTTCTTATGAGATAACAAGGGAACAAAGAAAGTGAATAAAAAGTATGCGAAAATATAGACAGTCTAAGTCATTCTGGAAAAGAGTGTATGGCAAATCCTGTAAATATAAACACACTGATTTATGAAAATTTATAGAAAAGGAGAGAATTTAATGTGAAGTTAGTGGGCAGACATTGATCTGAGAAGCAGAAAGTGATTTTGGTAATTCTAACCTGTGTGCGACCTGACCGAGGAACGTGCAGAGGTATCGGAGAGTCCGTGCGTGTGCCGGGGGCAGCAGCGCCGTGAGCAGCAGTGTGGCTCTGTCTCGTGCCCCCTGAGGGTCACGCTCGGCGTCCAGCGTCTGAGCCTGGCACAGCGGGCCCTGCAGGTCCGCTGGGATCAGCGGCTGCGGCAGCTCCCGCAGGAACTGCTTCAGCACAGAGGCCACGTCACACGGCTGCAGAGAGGCATCATGAGGAGGGCAGAACACGCGCTCGCCCCGCTCCAGGTCTACCTGAGGGGAGAGACGCAGAGAGCAGTCACACCTGACACTCAGCAGAACATGCAAGACCTTCACATACATGACTAATTACACTGTAAGGCTACGTTTACATTACCAGGTTAAAGCGACACAAATCTGATTTTTTGTCCCTAATGTGACTCAGACCTGATGTTTTCAGAGCTGTGTGGACACAAATCTGATCTTTTCAAATCCGACCTGAGTCACTTTCATATGTGGTCCTAGATCAGATACGTATCCGATTTGTGGCCATGTGACCTTAATGTGACGCTCAGATCAGAATTCATGTGCTTTTTCTCCACTGCACTGCGCCATCATTCAGCGTTACCATGGCAGCAGCGCCGAACAGAAGTTAAAGCCTGTAAACGGTGGAAAAGCAGCTCATCTCACCTTTTTCTCCTTCATCTCGCTCTAATAATGAAGCTGAGAGCTGATCAGAGTTAATTATCTTCTCAGCGAAGCTCGTTCTGCTCGTTAGTTTGTGCTGATGATGAACGTGATTCATTCACGTGACGTTACTGAGTAGGATGTGCTCATGAGGGTCATTTCAGGACGCCGGTTCGTCACATTAACAACAGATTCGAGTCACTGACCTAACCGAGTGTGAACCATCGTGTCAGAGAGATCGGATTTGAGCAAAAAATCAGATTTGAGTAATGAGGCTTGTAATGTGAACGTAGCCGAAGTTTTAAAGGGCCCATATTCTGCACTGATAATGTTTGCTCAGATTTATGTCATAATTCATTTTTCCAACCTCTCTTTATCCTTTGGAATTAAACAGGCTGTTTTTTGTTACTGTGCCTTTAACACTGTGATATGTAAATGAGCTGTGTTCCTACTGGCTGCCCTGTACTGTGCCTCATTCAAAAAACAGTCATGGCTGAAACACTTCTTATAACTTCACTGTGAATGGGCGGGTCAAAAACAATGGATTGAAAACGGGCTGTTGTTCAGTTTTCATATACGGGCTGTACACAATGCATCTTTTACAGCTCGTACAAAATTCATCACATCCTAACAAAAACAGAACAGAGAGATCAGATCAGTCCCGCTTTAAAAGAGCTGCACTGCCTGTCTGTATCGCACAGGATAGAGTTTAAAGCTCTGCTGCTGGTTTTTAAAGCTCTAAATGACCTTAAAGCTCCTGAATGTCTGTTTATGATCTCAGATCTGCAGATTCTGACCTTCTGAACTCCTTCAGTAAAACACAGAAAACGTGGAGAGACTCTTTCAGTTATTCTGCTTCTAAACTGTGGAGCTCAGTTCAGCTTTTATTAGACAGTCGAGCTCAGAGCTCACTTTTAATAAACACCTGAAAACGCAGCTCTTTAACTCAGAGCTTCATTAAACTGTACGACTCTTTAACTCAGAGCTTCATTAAACTCTACGACTCTTTAACTCAGAGCTTCAGTAAAACTCTACGACTCTTTAACTCAGAGCTTCATTAAACTCTACGACTCTTTAACTCAGAGCTTCAGTAAAACTCTACGACTCTTTAACTCAGAGCTTCATTAAACTCTACGACTCTTTAACTCAGAGCTTCAGTAAAACTCTACGGCTCTTTAACTCAGAGCTTCATTAAACTCTACGACTCTTTAACTCAGAGCTTCATTAAACTCTACGGCTCTTTAACTCAGAGCTTCATTAAAACTCTACGGCTCTTTAACTCAGAGCTTCATTAAACTCTACGGCTCTTTAACTCAGAGCTTCATTAAAACTCTACGGCTCTTTAACTCAGAGCTTCATTAAAACTCTACGGCTCTTTAACTCAGAGCTTCAGTAAAACTCTACGACTCTTTAACTCAGAGCTTCATTAAACTCTACGGCTCTTTAACTCAGAGCTTCATTAAAACTCTACGGCTCTTTAACTCAGAGCTTCATTAAACTCTACGGCTCTTTAACTCAGAGCTTCATTAAACTCTACGACTCTTTAACTCAGAGCTTCATTAAACTCTACGGCTCTTTAACTCAGAGCTTCATTAAACTCTACGGCTCTTTAACTCAGAGCTTCATTAAACTCTACGGCTCTTTAACTCAGAGCTTCAGTAAAACTCTACGACTCTTTAACTCAGAGCTTCATTAAACTCTACGACTCTTTAACTCAGAGCTTCATTAAACTCTACGACTCTTTAACTCAGAGCTTCATTAAACTCTACGGCTCTTTAACTCGGAGCTTCAGTAAAACTCTACGACTCTTTAACTCAGAGCTTCATTAAACTCTACGACTCTTTAACTCAGAGCTTCATTAAACTCTACGACTCTTTAACTCAGAGCTTCAGTAAAACTCTACGACTCTTTAACTCAGCGCTTCATTAAACTCTACGACTCTTTAACTCAGAGCTTCATTAAACTCTACGACTCTTTAAACTCTACGACTCTTTAACTCAGAGCTTCATTAAACTCTACGACTCTTTAACTCAGAGCTTCAGTAAAACTCTACGACTCTTTAACTCAGAGCTTCATTAAACTCTACGACTCTTTAACTCAGAGCTTCAGTAAAACTCTACGACTCTTTAACTCAGAGCTTCATTAAACTCTACGACTCTTTAACTCAGAGCTTCAGTAAAACTCTACGACTCTTTAACTCAGAGCTTCATTAAACTCTACGACTCTTTAACTCAGAGCTTCAGTAAAACTCTACGACTCTTTAACTCAGAGCTTCAGTAAAACTCTACGACTCTTTAACTCAGAGCTTCATTAAACTCTACGACTCTTTAACTCAGAGCTTCATTAAACTCTACGACTCTTTAACTCGGAGCTTCAGTAAAACTCTACGACTCTTTAACTCAGAGCTTCAGTAAAACTCTACGACTCTTTAACTCAGAGCTTCAGTAAAACTCTACGACTCTTTAACTCAGAGCTTCAGTAAAACTCTACGGCTCTTTAACTCAGAACTTCAGTAAAACTCTACGACTCTTTAACTCAGAGCTTCAGTAAAACTCTATGGCTCTTTGGTCTTCATCTCTTTAATCTGATCTGTGTTATTTTCTTATAGGATTCTAAATTAATACTTATAATTTCTTGGATTACTGTTTAACTTCATCACCTGCCTGTAAAACACTTTGAGCTGCCACTGGCATGAAAAGTGCTATAAAAATTATTATTATTATTATTATTATTATTATGTACTTGAGAAAAGGGAACATTTTGAAACCTTAACGTGTTCTAGATCACTGTACCAGTACTGGTACACTTCTGTTTATTTAACCATCATTTTTTCCATCAAATCGTCCAGCAATGCGGTGATGTAATAAACTGCTAGAAGGCTTGAAATCTCAGGATCATTTTATGATCCATTATTCACGGCAGTTATGATCGTCTTGTTCGCAACATCAGCACCAAATGAGCAAATGGCAGCAAATCTGTGCGTCACTTACAGTCTTAAAAAAGATGGTTCTTCAAGGGTTCTTTAGCAAAGAAATGGGCTGTATGTAGAACCATGAACAGCCAAAGAACAATTTGCATGATTAAAGGTTCTTTGCATTGTGAAATGGTCCTTTAGATTGATGGAGAACGTGTTACAGATGGCTCTTTTTGAAAAGGGTTCTATACAGCACCAACAAGAGTTCTTCTACTGTGACAATGTCAAGGTTGTAACAATAGAACCCTTTTTGGTGCTGTATATAGAAGCATATACAACACATTTTCCATCAATTCGAAGCACCTTTTTTTTTTTTGAGTGTTCATGGTTCTATACAGAACCTTTTTCTTTACTAAAGAACTCTTGAAGAGCCATCTTTTTTTAGGTGTGAACCTTCAAAGCCTTGTCGCCTCCACAGAGACACCACAATCCAAAACATAAGGTCTAATATGTCTAATAACACGGCGGGAGTCAGAGGTCAGTTTAGATCTATGAGTCAGGAGGAAATAAACTCCTCTGTTCTGGACTCTGTTACTCTGAGTCAGTAACTCAGACAGTTACTCTGACCTGTTTCCTTTCAAGTGAGACTGAGATCACAACTGTAGCCCAGAGTTTGTGGGAACAGCGCCCCCTTTACTTTGGGTATGCCGTTTCAGGCACAAATGGGGCCGCAGTTAACAGGTTAACAGTGTTTACATACAACATAACACTCTTATCTTAAAAAAGCAAAGAAAAGTCAATCTGGACCCTTTAAAGAAGGTTTGAAGAAGATGTCTGATAATTGATGGCATGTTTATTTGTGTCTATTTATATCTGCATGTTATTCCTTTTACTGCATTCATAACCCTACAGAGATGTTATAGTTATTATATTTCCCTGTAACGCTTATCCAGGTAGATTTAGTCTCAATTTCCGCATTTTAGAACTGTTTATGTATCAGCAGCACCAGCACACATGAAAAACACTGAATACTGTCCACACTTTAGTCTGTGTTTATAGACAACAGTGAGTCATACAGCGTCAGAAACCACGCAATCACGTCTATTAGAGACACCGAACAACTACACAGGAAGTATGTTATGATTCAGGAATAAGCTTCCATTACTTGTTAGCTACATCAGCTCCAAAACCAGAGACCCTGAACGTGTCTTGGCAGATCAGCTGCTTTTGGGTGAATAAAATATATTAAGTCAATATAGTTATTTTTGCCAAATGTAAACAAACTGAAAGGCAATAACTGAGCTGATGTAATAAATGCTGTTTAAACACTTCACAGGAAGCTTTAAAGGAAAAATCCATTCATGGTAATGGGGTCCTACCCGCAGAGCACGGATGCGGCTCAGCGAGCCGGTTTTCCTGAAAAGCCCCTCGGTGTGCAGGTGCTGAGATAAATACTCACAGACCTCCACCAAGAAGCTGAAAACAGAACAGAACAGAACAGAACAGAACACTGAGCACTTTCAAACGGAAATCACTTAAACAGCAGCTAACCTACACAAAAGATGGTTCCACAAGGGTTCTTTAATAAAGACAATGACCCTATATAGAACCATGATCACTGAAAGAACCGTTGGCATGCTTAAAGGTGAAACGGTTCTTCAGATCATGGAGAATGTGTGGTATATGGTTCTATATAGCACTAAAAGGGTTCTGCTATTGTTACGATGTCAAGCTTGTAACAACAGAAGAACCCTTTTTGGTGCTATATAGAACTAAATTCAAAAAGATTCTACATAGAACCATCTATAGCACATTCTCATCAAATGGTTCTTTCGGTGTTCATGGTTCTATATAGAACCATATACAACACATTCTCCATCAATCTGAACAATTGTGTCTTTGAGTGTTCACGGTTCTATACAGAATCAATGTCTTTACTAAAGAACCCTTGAAGAACCATCTTTTTTAAGAGTATACAGACAGCGCTTATAGAGGCTGGTCAAACACTGTTTTAAGGAAGAAATTAAACTTCACAAAAGGAACTAAACCTACAGCGGCACGGTGCCGTCCAGCTCGGTCGGATGGTGCTGAGGGAGCGACTGCAGCTCACGTCCAAAAGCGAAGGCCTGGAGGTTCTCCTGGGACTGAGGATAAGTGGAGTTACCTGAGAACATACTTCTCTGCATTTGAAGGCAAAATGCACCAATTTATGCCACCATTAGTCCAAATATCATCTCAGCTAACGGTCTAGGTCTCACTGTCGTTATCCTGAAGAAAAAAACAGCGTCCAGCAGGTACTGATTTCAGAGCTGGACAAGAACCAGTTACTCTCAGTTTCATGTACTTCAGCAAAGATTTTTCAAATGATTAAGATGTAATCAGAGTGGTTCAGAGCGGTTTGGTGTGAAACGCTCTGTTCTAGATAAACTTACTGAGTGAGAACTGTTCACAGTGGTGGTGATAGGAACCAGACGTCCACCTCTAAAAGCTCCCTCACAGAAAGTTCCTACATGAAATGGTTATGAATTCACTGCCTGATGACTGAGACACTGTTTTATGATAGTTTAGAGAACTTAAACTCCATTCATGGTGGAGGGATACATGCAGGGCGCTGTGAGGCAAAACAGTCCCCAAAGAAAACTTATTATTTCAGATTTTCCACTATTTTCCATCATCAACATTCCATATTCCCATGACCACCACTGTAAAGACATCTGAACCATTTCACACCAAAACACTCTGAATGACATTGAATTATGGGGGAAATTTTGGAAAATGGGTGGATTTCCCCTTTCACTCTTCAGACTGCTTTGCAGCTGCTCACAGCCTCTCAGTCTGGAGCCTCAGCCTGTTTCTTTGGACCAAAAGGATCAGAGAAGAACCTCAGTTCCTCTGCTGATAGATGCTGGGATGTTCTAAGATGTTCCATTGCAGTTCTATGGGGGGAACTCGGCACTCCAATAGTTTCATAAGGGTTCTTTTACAGCTCGAGCAGTTTCTAACTCACCTCTGCTTGGCTCTGTGTTTGTATGAAGCTCTTCCAGTTCCTCACTCGAATCCCTGCCATTTTCAGCGCGCGCACCACAGCGAGCACGCGCTCGCGCTGCCCAGGTACAGCACGCATCTCAGCACTCACCTGTACACACACCTGTACACACGCACTTACAGCAAAAACACACACACTGCTAACTCCGCGTTCAAATCAGTGCGCATGCGCACTCGTTTTGCCCCCAGTGTGGTTTGAACGGCAAAGTCGGAGATCGAAACATGATTGGCTGCAAGTTTGGTCACCTGGGCAACAACTGTACGTAAGTAAGTAGGCTAGTTTTACCGTAAGATGCGCACAAGAGGAAAGCTAATTAATATTCATAAGGCTCCACGCTGAACGCGGCCTCTGATTGGTCGAGCCAAGTGTATGTATGACTCTAACAACCTGTTTAATGTGCAGCAAATGCAGTTTTTTATTAATCATACAGTGACGTGTGCGCACGCGTAACAGTCTGTTGGCTTGGCCAATCAGACGCCGAGTTCTGGAGGAGCTTCATGAATATTAATAAGCTTCCCTCGCCTTTCGTACGAAAAGAAAGCTTTACGTTAGTGATGAACGAACCGGGTTTTCTGGAGTCGATTCCGACTCTCGACTCCTGCCGCTGGAATCGACTCCTCGACTCCGCTTTGTTTTAACCAGACAGCCCTGATACAGTACCTCACTCATAAAAAACATGGTTCTTCAAGGGTTCTTTAGTAAAGGAAATGGCTCTGTACAGAACAACGAACACTCAAAGAACCCTTTGCATGATTAAATGGTTCTTCAAATTGATGGACAGTGTGTTGTACATGATTCTATATAGACCCTGTTTGAAAGTGGTTCTACGTAGCACCAAAAAAAGGGCTCTGCTATTGTTACGATGTCAGGGTTGTTACAGTAGAAGAACCCTTTTTGTGCTATATAGAACCATAGTAACATCAATCTGAAGAACCATTTCATCATGCAAAAAAACATTTATGCATGCAAATTGTTCTTTGAGTGTTCATGGTTCTAATCAGAACCACCGTCTTTACTAAAGAGCTCCGTCGTTTTTAAGAGTGTACACAAGGACGTTTTTGGGAGGTTATTTTTTTGTGTTCTATCAGAAACAAACACTTCACACAAAGGGTTCCATATAGCACCAAAAAGGGTTCTGCTATTGTTATGATACAAGCTTGTTCTATATAAAACCATGAACACTCAAAGAACCCTTGGCATGATTAAAAGGTTCTTTGCATGGTGAAATGATTCTTCAGTTTGACAGAGAATCTGTTGTACATGGTTCTATATAGAACATTTTTGAAAAGGGGTCTTCTGTTGATATGATGTCAAACTTGCAACCATAGAAGAACCCTTTTTGGTGCTGTATAGAACCACATACACCACACTCTCTGTCAAACTGAAGAACCATTTCATCATGCAAAGAACCTTTTAATCATGCAAATGGTTCTTTTGAGTGTTCATGGTTCTATATAGAACTATTGTCTTTACTAAAGAACCCTTGAAGAACCATCTTTTTTAAATGTGTAAAAAAATAAAGACAAGATAAAAGTTAAACGACAGGTTGGCACTTAAAGTAAAAACTTTCAATATAAAATTATTAATAACGAATTTACAGTTTACCATGTTTATAATCTTTGGTTGCAGGTCATGTTTACTTTGCACAGTGGCGACATCTAGCGGTCATGTGAGTGCAATTGCAGTTCAGATCATATGAGCTGCACAACACAAGATGTGGAGAGCAGCGTCATGATTTATTAGTATTAATTATGCATTATGGCGTGATCCTAGTGCAGTGAGTGAGCTCCTCCAGACCTGCTGCCTCCTGCTGCACAGTCACTATCAAACCACCCTTCTTCTGAAGAAGCTCTAAGCTCTCAGATACCTGCATCAAACTGAGGTACACACAGCAGAGCGTGAGCACCTGAGAAGATCCACCTAACACTGTACAGACCATCTAATCAGTCTTCAGTACAGCAGACAAACATGCAGTGAAGGAAATACTTAGATACTAATTTGTCAGTTCGTAGTTATTATGGATCCCAAAATAACCAGGCCCAGCCGTCATCCTGTGTCTACTGTACAGTTATTACATAATCACATAATTCTGTGTACCTGGGCACTCTTAAAAAAAGATGGTTCTTCAAGCGTTCTCTTCAGATTGATGGATAATGTGTCGTAGATGGTTCTATACAGAACTTTTTTGAAAAGGATTCCATATAGCACCAAAAAGCGCTCTTCTATTGTAACAAGCTTTTTGGCGCTACACAGAACCATTTTCAAAAAGGCTCTATATAAAACTACATACAACACATTCGCCATCAATCTGAAGAACCATTTTACTAACCTTTTCGAAAAAGGTTCCATGTAGCACCACAAAGGTTTCTATTGTTACGATGTCAAGCTTGTATACAACAGAAGAACCCTTTTACCGTGCTATATAGAACCATATACAACAATCTGAAGAACCATTTCCTCCTGCAAAGAACGATTTGAGCATGAAAATGGTTCCTTATAGAGTTCATGGTTCTAACCATTCCCTTTACTGAAGAACCATACTAACAGCTCAGAGTGTCAATCTTTACACGTTTAAACACACAGCGGTGTAGAAGCTCAGAGGACACGGCGGTCAGTGTAATAAACACACAGAGCCAGGCGTATTGATCAGGGAAAGCAGACTGTTTATTGATGGCGAGTTCTGATAGATCTGATTGGTTTGGAGAGCAGATGAAGTCGGTTTCAGGAGAACCTCCAGCCGGTTCAGCTTCACAGCTACATAAATAAGGACTCTGTACAATAAGTGCTCACAGCTTCATGTTCACCACAAAATCCTCTCCTTTCTTGATGGAGCCCTTCAGCTCAGCCATCGCTTCGGCCACCAGCTTCTCCTCGAAGGCCGAGAGCTTCCCCAGGCCCAGGTTCTTCTCAATGCCGTTTTTCTGGAAGGAGAGAAAAGGATGAATCAGAATTATTACACATGAATATTAGAGTGTTTATGCATTTCATAAAGTGTAACAATAGTATTTCGCTGCTGTCGGAACAAAACCTTACATCTCCAAAAAGGCAACTTTACAGGAAAAGGAAAAACGTCCTTAACTTTCAATGGAAGTAAATGCATAAATATTTTGCCCAAGTAATTCTGGACCATTTCTGATGGTCTGTTAATCATGAAATTCTGACACATCATAAGGGCAACCTCACCTTTTTAAAATTTTATCAAGACATGAAGATACGAGATACTAGATTCGTCCCGACAGCAGCAATTACGAAAAGTAATAAAATTAACAGAATTGTAGTAAAAAGGTTTTCCGAGAGGCAGAACTTGGGATGTTGTGGGATGTTTGAAAAGCGCCAGATAATTTAATTTTGGTCACAGATATAGATAAATATTGACAGATTTACTGCAATTAATTATAACTGATTATTACATTCTTCAGATACACTGCAATAAATCAGTGCATTTTACAGGATGGGGGAGGGGTTAAGTTCGTGATGCTGAAATTTTTAGCAGCTTATACGTGAGGAACAGTGACGTCATGCTAAATAATGAGTTTTTGTTCTTTTTCATTTGAATTCTTCAGAGAGACGACAAGATACAACTGTAGACGACACGGCAACCACAGCTGATGATCAGCCTGCTGTCTTTATGCAAATCACCTGAGCATCGACCAATCAGACTGTGGACATGAGGTATGAAATGCTTGTGTCACGCCCACCTCCACTTCAGGGCTCGGAGCTCGTCTATAACTCCTGCTTGTCTTTCAGAAACGCACCCAAAGCTGCCAGGAGTTGGTGAAGGACGCGATTCACTTCACCATGAAATGCAACGCTGACTTGCAGCGCGCGGCTACTGCAGATTTTCAGGAGGTATAAATAAAACTAAATAAAAATAAAAACTCCGGCCACAGATCACACGCGGGTCTCTGCTCTGCTCAAAACACTTTAAAGTTCTGTTCTTCTGTTATTAGTTATTGTTTTTAAAAGTTAGTTAAACAGTCATGCAAAGGCCCCCAACCTCCTGCGTCCCTGGCCTCTTTTTCCCTCATTGTCTAGGGCACGTGTGTCAGACTCCAGTCCTCGCAGGCCAAAACTCTGCAGACTTCAGCACACTGCCTCATTAAAACACACCGATTCAGCTCATGACCTAATTAGCATCATGAACTGAATTCAGAGTGTTAGACGAGGGTAAACACTGATCTCTGCAGCACTTTGGCCTGGAAGGTCCCCTGATTGAGGGTCTTATTACAACAATAGACAAGAGATTCTGAGTTTGAGATGCTCAGATTAGTGAATCTTTTAGGATTTTAGGAAGGTGTGTAACGGACATTAACCGAATGTTTACTTCAGTAAGGCGTGTGTGGTGCGGCGTACCCCGAGCAGCAGTGGTGTGGAGAAGTATTTACACTCCGTCTCTTCTGATCTGACGAACGCGCACTCCACTACACCCTCCTTTCCGTTCATGGCGTCGAGGAGAGAGAAGGTGAACCGAGCTCCGGCGTAGGCCATCGACAGCGTCGCCGATCCTACAGACACAACACAGTCAGGTTTACAGTCAACAACGTACCTTATTACAACAAGGCTGACCTTCAGGATGGAAGCTTCACATTTAGGGGGGGTTCATTTAAATAAAGCAGCCTTAAAACTGTCCTTAAAACTGGTTGGTTAGCATTTCTGCTACTGAGAGCTGATTGGTTAGCACCGCTCCTACAACTGAATAGTGTTAATGCTACTGAGTGCTGATTGGTTCATGAGCTGATCAGCTCATTGGCTGAGTGAAGCGGTTTGTGCTCACTGACCTCATAAACGTGAGACACTATCAAAGTTCAATAGTTTGAGTTCAAAAGGTGCTCAAAAATATAACAGCAGTGTTAAAACGTTTGATGCGGTCAGTGTATTTTGTGGTTGGACTGACCCGCTCCAGCCTTGGCCTTCACCACCTCCGTCCCTGCCTCCTGAATCCTGCCGGTCAGAGCGGACAGCTGGTCTTCAGGGAAGTCCACTTTAGGAGTGCACTGCGGAGACAGAGATCGTCACACTTCCGTTACTCAGGGAATCAGATCTACTGCACTGAAGGTTCTCATCAGGAACGATCAATA